AGAAAAAAGGAAGCTTAAAAAAAAAAAAAAAAAAAAAGTGTTGCAGCTTACTGAAATTAAATTAGTTTAAACTGAAGTACTAAAATTACTAAAACAAATATTTTTAATAAAGAAAATAAATTAATATATATATATAATACTTTTGTACAACAAATATCAATTAAATTGATCATAATTGACAGTAAAGACATAATGTTACAAAAAGATATTTTTCAAATGCATGCTGTTTTTTGAACTTTCTATTCATCAAAGTATCAATCAAAATCAATTTATCACAAAAAATATGAAGCACCATACTGTTTTCAACATTGATAATAATCAGAAATGTCTCCTGAGCATCAAATCAAGATATTAGAATGATTTCTGAAGGATCATGACACTGAAGACTGGAGTAATGATGCTGAAAATTCAGATTTACATCACAGAAATAAATTACATTTTAAAATATATTCAATACAAAACGATATTTTAAATTGTAAAAATATTTCACAGTATTACTGTTGTTACAGTATTTGTAATTAAATAAATGCAGCCTTCATTCTTCATTAAGAAACTTTTTATATGAAATATATTTGTGCTTATACTGTAATACAGTAAACACAATCAAACACAATCTGTGAAAGAACACAGTGTGTTTCCAGAAGATCTTTCCAGAGAAACAGTCTAACATGAACAAGCCCCAAGCAGTAAATGTACAGAAACAGTCCCTCAAGTATCAGGCTGTCAGCTGGAGTAGAAGGAATCAAAGATGTTGTTTAGCTCACACGCTTCACAAACATCAACCCCAACACAAACGTCAAGTGTTTGGAGCAGTTCTGTTTTGCAGATTACTACATGAAACTTGTGAAATCTGTGTCAGGGTTTCATTCTGTCTAGTTAATTAAAGCTTGGAAACACACGCCCTTAAGTGTCTCTATTAAATTCAGACGTTCATTCTGAATTTAACCTCTTTTTGTTTCTTTGATAGCTGCATGAAAGGCCCAAAATTCTCCCAAATGTGTGTCACTTCTTGCTGAGGTCTTTTCTTCTCTGTATTTGGGTTTTCAGATGTTGCTGGAGCCTGATAACGTGATGACAGTGAGACTCATCTTGCGACAGCCCTCCTCTGAATGGCTCAATTTCAGCATTGAGGAAATTAACATTTTCCCATGTGCAAAAGAGGTGCGTATGTAAAATATACTGTCATTTATGTCACTCTATAAAATTATTGCAAAATGATGTCTGTAATTAAATTGTATGTTAAACCATACCTATATTTAGATTTTGTTCTGTTTTGTGTGTTTGTTTGTTTGTTTTTGCTTCTTAGAGTTGATCAGTATTTTCACAGTGAGATCTTCCAGTCTGGTTTTGTTTTGCTTTTTGTTTGCTTTTCATTCATTTTATTCCCTTATTTTTTTTAATCAGGGAGAATATACATTATTAATACATACAATCAAAGTGAAATGTGACAGATTTAGCCTGGGGTGCTCATTTTCATCTGCAGTCCCAAACCGAACATTTTCTGTTTGTTTGGAGTTTGTTTTCTTTGCCTGTGTTTAAGGTTGTTTTGTTTTATTTGCTTTTATTTTGTTCTGCATTTTGTTTGCTTGGTTTTTGTTTAGTTTAGTTTAGAGCAATATTTTGAAATTTTATTTGTTATTTATGATTATTTATGATATTATTTTTGTCTTTCCAGGGGTCAGAGAGATTTTTATTTATTGTTTGTTTTTCTGTTTCTGTGAAGTGTTTTTTTTTTTTTTTGACTTTTTTTTGAAGTTTTTTGTTTATATTTGTATTTTACCAAAACCCACAAAGTTGATCAGTGGATGTTATCTTTTTCTTTCCAGGAATCTGGGAGTTCTTTTGTTTTTTGATTATGTTTTTTTGAAGTTTGTTTTATTTGATTTAATTTTGTTCTGCATTTTGTTTGCTTGATTTTTGTTTCGATTTGTTTTGTTTGAAGAAGTACCAAAACAATTAATTGGTGGATGTTATTTTTGTCTTTCCTGGGGTGTATTCCAGAAAGCAAGGTATTCCAGAAAGCAATTACCGTCACATATACCCTGAACTCTCACAGTTGATTAACCCAAACCTTGCTTACTCGAGGTATGCTGGTTCCAAAAACGCTTCCGTGAGTAAGTTCAGTCAACTCAGAGTATGTTCACGGTTAACACACCAGACATTCTCAACAGAGCGATGAATCGACGAGTCACCATGGAAACTAAGATGCTAAGAAAAAGCGTGCCATGCTGCTTCTTTCTTCTTCTTTTGTTCAATTGTCATTTATATACATACTGCACATTGCCACCTAATTGATGGTTGTGCAATAATTTTTCTTTTTTTGTTTTTTTTTGTTTTATATAATATATATCAATATCGATAACTATTATATATGACAAAAAATAAACATAATAACATATTAGAATAATATAATATTATCTTATATATTACTTATAATAGTGCTTTATAATTAACATATCATACAACTAAAAAAAGTGGAAAGTGAAAGTGACGTGTGGTCAAGTATGGTGACCATACTCGGAATTTGTGCTCTGCATTTAACCAATCCAAGTGCACACACACAGCAGTGAACACACACACACCGTGAACACACACCCGGAGCAGTGGGCAGCCAATGCTGTGGCGCCCGGGGAGCAGTTGGGGGTTCGGTGCCTTGCTCAAGGGTCTCACGTCAGTCGTGGTATTGAGTCCCCCCACTTGCAATCCCTGCCAGACCTGAGACTCGAACCCACGACCTTCGGGTTACAAGTCCAACTCTCTAGCCATTAGAACACGACTGCCCCGCACATACATACATACACTGAACAAAATTATAAATGCAACACTTTTGTTTTCGTGCACTTAGTCCATCACAGCGCTGTAAGACCATGGCACCTGTATGACGGGCTCCACCTGAATCAGGATGGAGTCAGGATTTTTGCCAAAGCTATCAAAGATGTTGCCCTTGGACGCTTCCCAACAACCAGCTATGAAGGAGCAAAAAGAAATGTGAGAATGCAGCCGTTCGAGCCATCTGGACCTTCATCTCGCTCAAGACCACCACGAGACCTTCACAGACAACCCAGGACTTCAGGATGGTCTCACAGACAGCAGGAGAGTCAGCTCTACACTGAAGGCCGATCCCAGCAGACACGCAGCTATGCCCAGGTACTGTCACAGCAGACGCCCTCATCATCCGCTCAGGAACTACTGTCCATTAGTGATGTGGGAGAAATTAAAAGACTGCTAAACCTCCTCTGCAACAAAATGCTCAACTAAAATCTACGATGATTGATCACAACACAATGATTATTATCATTGTGATTATTTTTATTATCGATTGTTGTTATTGTTATTACTATCTTATTATTGTTATTATTTTTATTCATTATTCACAATTATGTATTTTAATCAGTTTGACTACCTTTGTTTACTTGCTCTACTATTACTATTACTTAGTTATTTTATTTATAGAGCTAAACAAAAACCTTCTGAAAAGTGGTTTGACCATGACTGTAAAACAATAAGACAAGAGCTACGATTCATTTCCAATCAAAAACACAAAGATCCAGTCAACTCAGAATTACGCTTAAAGCACTCAGAACTTCTGAAACAATACAAACACACACTGAGACAGAAGAAATTGGATTATTATAACAACACACTTCAGAAGATGGAGAACACAATTGATCAGGGTCAGTTCTGGAGCATGTGGAACAGTCTAAACAATACAAAGCCACAAGAACTAGCTATACAAGATGGTCAAATTTGGAAAGATTATTTTGAGAAGCTCTATACACATCAAACTGACCCTCTGAATAATCCTAACCAGTTAAAAGTTCTTGAAAAACTGAATGCTCTTGAATCATGTATCAAAAACAACCAAAATCCACAAGATTATCCAATAACCCAACAAGAACTTATTGGAAAACTGAAATCCCTCAAATGTAAGAAATCCTGTGGCCCTGACAACATAAAAAATGAGATGCTTAAAAACAGATCTCCTGAATTTCAGATTGCATTACTCAAAACTTTTTAACTTGATTTTGAGTTCAGGCGTTTTTCCTGAGGTCTGGAACACAGGACTCATCTCTCCGATCTTTAAAAGTGGAGACAAAACAGATCCTAATAACTACAGAGGGATCTGTGTAACCAGTAATTTGGGAAAAGTATTTTGCTCAATAATCAACTCTCGGATTTCATCTTTCTTAAAGCAGCACAATGTCATCAGCAAATCTCAAATTGGCTTCCTCCCTAAACACCGAACCACTGACCATATTCACACACTACACACGTTAATAAATGAACATGTACACCAAAAGAAAGATGGAAAAATATTTGCATGCTTCATAGATTTTAAGAAGGCATTTGACTCCATTTGGCATAATGGATTGTTTTATAAAATCATTCAAAGTGGCATAGGGGGCAGAATATATGACTTAATTAAAAACATGTATAACCAAAATAAATGTGCAGTAAAAATTGGACAGCAAAGGACAGACTATTTCTCTCAACAGCGAGGAGTGAGACAGGGCTGCTGCCTCAGCCCGACTTTATTTAACATATATATCAATGAACTGGCAGATCTACTGGACCAATCAAACAGTCCAGGACTACAATTATTCCACACAGAAGTCAAATATTTACTGTATGCAGACGACTTGCTAATTCTATCTAAAACACCAGAAGGTCTCCAGAACAACCTTGACATTTTAACTAAATACTGCCACGATTGGGCCTTAGACGTCAACATCCCAAAAACTAAGATTATGATATTTCAGAAAAAACCCAGAAATCTAGAACATAAACATATATTTACTTTAAACAACACCACACTTCAACATGCTTTACAATATAATTATCTTGGTCTGGTTTTAACTCCCACTGGAAATTTCAAATTGGCAATTAAAACATTACTTACAAAATTAACTTGATTTTGAGTTCAGGCGTTTTTCCTGAGGTCTGGAACACAGGTCTCATCTCTCCTATCTTTAAAAGTGGAGACAAAACAGATCCTAATAACTACAGAGGGATCTGTGTAACCAGTAATTTGGGAAAAGTATTTTGCTCAATAATCAACTCTCGGATTTCATCTTTCTTAAAGCAGCACAATGTCATCAGCAAATCTCAAATTGGCTTCCTCCCTAAACACCGAACCACTGACCATATTCACACACTACACACGTTAATAAATGAACATGTACGCCACAAGAAAGATGGAAAAATATTTGCATGCTTCATAGATTTTAAGAAGGCTTTTGACTCCATTTGGCATAATGGACTGTTTTATAAAATCATTAAAAGTGGCATAGGGGTAAAATATATGACTTAAAAACATGTATAACCAAAATAAATGTGCAGTAAAAACTGGACAGCAAAGGACAGACTATTTTTCTCAACAGCGAGGAGTGAAACAGGGCTGCTGCCTCAGCCCGACTTTATATAACATATATATCAACGAACTGGCAGATCTACTGGACCAATCAAACAGTCCAGGACTACAATTATTCGACACAGAAGTCAAATATTTACTGTATGCAGACGACTTGCTAATTCTATCTAAAACACCAGAAGGTCTCCAGAACAACCTTGACATTTTAAATAAATACTGCCATGATTGGGCCTTAGACGTCAACATCCAAAAAACTAAGATTATTATATTTCAGAAAAAAAAACAGAAATCTAGAACATAAACATTTATTTACTTTAAACAACACCACACTTCAACATGCTTTACAATATAGTTATCTTGGTCTGGTTTTAACTCCCACTGGAAATTTCAAATTGGCATTACTTACAAAAACATTACTTACAAAAGCCCGCAGGGCACTGCATGCCATACGAACGAAATTATTCAAAATAAACATCCCCATCAGAATTTGGACAAAGATTTTTGATAGTGTCATACTGCCTATTGCCCTGTATGGAAGCGAGATCTGGGGCCCAGCGAGTAACTCCAGTCATAAGGACTGGCACAAACACCCTTTAGAAGCTCTGCATGTAGAGTTCTGCAGAAGCATCCTTCATGTGCACAGAAACACACCTAATAACGCCTGCAGAGCCGAGTTAGGCCGTCTCCCCCTAAATCTAATCATTAAAAAAAGAGTTCTTAAGTTCAGGATCCACTTAAACTCTAGTTCCGAAGATTCTCTTCATTTTAAAGCACTAAAAACACAAAAAAGGAGTGCTCAAAAAAGTCATCTTTGTGTAATGGTGTCAGATCTGACTAACAAAGCACTCGATATCACCAACCCTGAAAAACATGGGAGAATCAAAGAAATTATGAATGAAGAGAAGGAGACATACATACAGCATTGGAAAGAACAAACCAAAGACCAAAGTCGTCTCCAATGTAATCTGAAACTCAACAGACAGTACAGTCTGGCTGACTATCTGGTCTCAGTCAGGAATATAACACACAGACATTTACTGACCAAGTACAGACTGAGTGACCACCAGCTGGCCATAGAGAGAGGACGACATAAAAACACGTGGTTACCTAAAGAAGAGTGATTCTGTAATGAATGTAGATCAGGATCAGTAGAGACGGAGGAACACTTCCTCCTTCACTGTGACAAATACACATCCTTAAGAGACTCACTGTACAGTCAGATACAGCAGAACAAACTAACCCTGAAACAGTACCTACTCTGGAGCAGGTTATGTTCAGGGAATAAGTTGCTATGGCTACTTGCATATCCTGAGAGTTACCTCCGTTTTTGGAACCGAAAGCTGAGTTTATCCGTTACTTACCCTTAAACATACCCGAGTATATGTCACGTAACCTGCTTTCTGGAACACCCCCAGGTCCAGGACTCAGGTTTTTTTTGTTTGTTTGGTTTGGTTTGGTTTTCTGTATTTCTTTGTTGTTGTTTTTTCTTGTTTTTTGTTTTGTTTAGTTTGAATCAGTATTTTACCAAAACCTACAAAGTTGATAAGAGGATGTTAGTTTTGTCTTTGTCAAAGAGGTTAACTTTGCTTTTCTTTTTTGCTTTTCTGTGTTTGTTGAAAGTTTATTTTATTCACTTTTATTTTGTTCTACAATGTGTTTTCTTTTCTTTTGTTTGAAGCAGTATCTTACCAAGAATTGATCAGAGTATTTTTTTTTTTTAAGGTTTTGTTTTGTCTTTGTTTTTTTTTTTTTAGCATTTTGTTAGCTTGGTGTTTGTTTTGCATTTACCAAAACCTTCATAGTTGATGTGTTGTTTTTGTCTGCCCAGGACTCAGAGCGAGATGTTCCTGTCTGGTTATCCACTCTCACACCTGTAGAGGAACCTCTTGATTTGAATGTGAGTAGGCTATTTTGTGTCTTACTGTATAATTTGCAACAGTTCAACAGTTGTCATCTAATGAATATTGAAAAACTTGTTGTTTAACAGCATATACAATGCTCCCTTGAAAGACTGTTAATACCATTTCATTTAGCAACACTCTGTAGTTTCTATGTATTTATGCAGCTGTGAGGTGTTAATTAACACTGTGGCTTCAGAACAGACTGAAAAGATAATTACGAAAATGTAGGAAACTCGCAGGTTGTCGTTTTTTCAATCACTCAGCATTGTGGCCATGTCACAGTTCTCATTTATCTGTCATTTGCATTCGAAATGTAAGACGCTTGTTTGATGGTTTGAAAGTGTCTCTTTAGCCTTATTGATGAATGCTCAACTTAATGTTTATTTAAACAGTTTCACCACCTGAAAAGCAATCATAATTTATCATTTGTTGTTTACCTGCAGTATTTAATTGGGGGAAAAGACATGTTCATGGTAACTCTATGAGGCGCTTATGAACTTTATGAATTTCTGGAACTGACATTAAGTTTTTATTTAATGTCAGGAATATGTGTGAACTTCTTTCTTGGTGCTATTATTATATTGTCTTATCAGGGTTTCTGCAGGTTTTATGAAGGTAAATTTGATACTTTTTAAGACCAAGAAAAGAAAATTAAAGGATTAAATTGAATGGATCACAATACATCAATATAGTCTCTAAATGCAAATGGCTTGTATTAGCAACACTTCCAAGTTGGGAAAATACAACTTCTAACAGATCTTGGATCTCCATTAATTTTCCCTTCTCCCTACCACTAGAATACGGAAATAACTGCAAAAAAGTGATGTTCTTCCTCTGTATTTTTGTCTTGTTTTCCAGTGCAAACGCCTACGTTTTGATCAAAATGAAATGAGTTCATGATTAAAACAAGAACAGATATGGACCAATGGGCTCAGAAAAACAACTTATTTCAAAGGAAAAACAAGCTTTAATACAGATATGTGTTCTTGTTTAAAGCATAAACTAAAAATAAAATAAAATTGTCCAATTTCTTAGAAAAGAACAACACTACTTCAATTTGCGTCTCAAGAAAATGTATTTTTATTTAAGGACGTTTAGATATTTGTACTGGAAAACAAATCAAAGATACTGAGGAAGATATTCACTTTTTTACAATGCATGCAGCATTTCATGCCATGGCTTTATGAATTCAAGACGTTCAGCTCTGATTCAAGACCTTTTAGGGCTTTAATGTAGATGAATTAAGACTTTTTAAGACCTGCAAGAAACCTTGATTTTATATATATGACCACCCAGATTTGTTGATATAGACACTAAAAGCCCATTAATATCTACCAACAGTCACAATCATCATATAGACTGATACTCTGAAGCATCATATGGAGATTTTTTTTTTTTTGATGAATGTTTTTATTTGAAAATGAACACGATATACATGCTTTAAAACAAATATTTAAAGAATATTAATTATTACAATAATAACTATTCTCCTCTCTATGATAGTACTTTACTGCCACTTGCTGGTCATAATCGAATCTGCAACTTCACAAATACAGCTATTCTTCCCACTTTATTTATTTTTTATTTTATTTTTATTTTTTTCACACACACTGCTCGTTGGTGCTCTATGTAAGCAAAATGCTAAAGGTTAAAAACGATGTCATGGTGAGTAAAGGATGATGATTTCTGAGTGCACTGTGCCTTCAATAAACAGAACAATGCTGCAGTTAATGTTTGTTTGTGTGTGTGCGTGCATTTCTTTAGGGACTTCCTGATCCAGAGACAGTTTCCTCCAGTATTCAGCAGATGTGGGCACTCACTGAGTTAATGCAGGCGAGCCAAACCGCAGCTTCCATCGGACGTTTCGACGTGAGTCGCGCTTCTATCTACCTATGCCATTTTCCTTGTTCTGCACTGAATTAAGATGTTTATTCCATTTGCAGGTGGAAGGCTCTTATGACGTCAAATTACTGTCGCACACATGACGGGAAAGCTGAAAACTGAAACTTACTACAAGTTCATCGACTGTTTATAATTTAATATCTTGAGCTACTGACTACTTGCACTGGGATATCTTTATTTAATATTGGAATTACTATTTATATACAGTGTGTTTTAATGCTATTTTATTCCACTTAATTTTTATTTTAAGGTTCCAGAATATTTTAACTTACTTTACATGAAATCTGGTCTATCTATCTATCTATCTATCTATCTAATGTTTTTTTGAGACTCTCAACACAGTTATTATAACACACACAAGTGTGTCAAAAGTTATGGAGGGCCTGTATCTTATAGGTTGATATGTACATTAGCAAGATTGCTTTATGCATTTGTGTTCTCACATTCAATAAAATAATCTTCAGTGAGTGCAAATGTTTCTCATTCATCATAGACTTTGTAAATAATTGTTAATAATACTAATTTATCTTAGTATGTAATTACATTGATGTACAGTGATGTAGCCTTCAGTATGACGATTTATTGTCATATTTTCAGCACGGAATCAGATAAATAGGCTATTCTTGTTTGCCGATATATGTGGAATTGTCTACCACATAATGGCAAACTAAATATTAATATAATCTTAATGCCGAGGTTTCAAAGCGATTCGCTTTTGCCGTACTTAATCTGTTGATGTCTGTTTTCAGATGTTAATGAAATGCATCTCACTTTGTGTTAATTAAAACTCAATGCACATGTTCATGGTTGCAGGCAGTAATCAAGAGCAGCGCTGCTTCCTAATGCTAATCATTGGAAATCAATGGTCGGCGTCCAAGAGGAGCCTCCATCTGTCTCTGCTGGCATCTCACGTGCATCAGAGACCATCATCTATGCAACATTAGCCTGCAAATGGAGCTCCGCGATTCCGTCCCCACACTGTCGGACAAGAAGAGCTGCCTTGTGCAGAAACCGATGGCTAATATTCGTCAGTCAAACTATCTTAAGTGAATAAACGGCGTTATGCGTCAGTTTGAGTCATTCTATTATCTGCAGCTGGAGTTATAAACGTTAAAATAGCCTAACACTTTTAAAAGAGCGTTCATTCATACATCATTACAACCTTTTCAAAACACTTCACGGTTCATGTCTCCAATAGATGGCAGTAGATAAACACGTAAACAACTGCCTTAAAAACCGCCCACACGGACATATTGATAGATACACGAATTATCGCCTGCTAGTTTAGAGATAATGGCGATTGTAATTGATTCACATTAAATAGTAAAATACGCATTACTCGGCTTCACCATATTATTTTAAAACCCACATGTAATCAATTTTGACCACACTACAGGTCAAACATTTGGAAACCTGCTTTATTCACTTAGGTAAAAAAAAAAAAATATATATATATATATATATA